TATGGGAAATTGCGATTGAGGTTTTGAGTTAGAATATCAGGCCTACTCAATGAAGTGCACAATCTTATTCAAAATGTGAATGTTTGATCCTACGCCCAAACATTGGCACGAAGGTTCATCCTAATAGTATAATCCGGTTAATTAATCAAAGAAGAAGATATACCAAATCATGAACCTTTTTTTTGGGCAATGCAAGGCTAACACAGGTGTACTATATCCATATCCATCTTTTAAAACGAGATAGATGCGCATTGGATGGCAGTGAGTGTGTAAAATCAAGGCTAGATCAGTTGTTCATGCACTTGAAACGAAACAATCTTCTTCACTCGCAGTATCGGAGGCATTTCCAGAAGTTAGGGTTGAAACGCAACTGATGCAAGTTGTTGAAGATTTAACAGATAGATTAGATGATGAAAGCCGATCTTATGTTTAAATAGGACCATCAGATGATGAAGAGGAAGAAGATCAATAGATCATGGGTACCTCAGAAGATGAATATGAAGAAGAGGAAGCTGATGAAGACGAGGAGGAAGCAGATGATATTCAAGACACTTAAAACTTAGAGCAATTTTACTGTTACAAATTGATAAATGTATATGTAATTAATATTGATAGATGTATATCTAATATTATTAATGAAGAATTTCAATGTTATTAACTTTCTTTACTCATATTTACCATATGTTCTACAATTCATATAACTGTATAAATTCATTTATCTAGGTTTTGATATCTGCAGTAAAGATGGATAGAGGCAAAGCGTTTGATTCACACGCGTCCGGGTGGTTCGCGTGGAGGTCGTGGCCCAAGACGCAGTGCCCATGGACGAGGAGGGACTATCCCTCCTTCTTCAGGTATGTCTGGGGCTTCATCCTCTGCTCAGTGACCAGTACTACTGCCATCACTTCCTTCTGCTGCTTCCTCTTCTACCCCCGTTTTTGGACTAGTACAATCTTCACCAGTTGCACAGTCACCTACTGTACAAGGTAATCATAAATGTCATTACTGTCATTTCAATTATATATTAATTATTTATTTGCATTTATAGCATTTGTCACTTATACACTCTGTTCATTTTAATTATATATTAATTTACCTAAAAAATTATAACATTTGTCATTTCTTTTGCGCTTCTCAGATCCACGGTATCACCCCTCAGTTTTCGGTTTAGCGGACAGTAAAGTTACTTGTATCACCCTCAATTTGGTAGCGGGACAGTAAGTACTTATTCAAATTTTCTGCAGGCATATTTTGTTCAGATTGTGATGCTTTTGTGTAATTATATTTCACTACGATTTTTTTTTCAGCATATATCCATCTTCTCGAGCAGCGAGACAAATTTTGAGGATAATCAAGCTCCAGCTACATAAAGAAGGATACACATGGGATGCCGTACCACAAGAGGCGAGAGACTTTTATTGGGAGGAGTTTCAGGTACTATTTGGTTTAAGTTCTATCATCATTCAATGTTTACAATTCAAGATACATCCTTAGTGTTGAAACGCTATATTTCATTTTTTGCAGAAGCATTTCATATGGGGACCATTACGGCTATGCTGAAAGTAGCCTGGGAGAAGATATGCGCCGATCGATACGCTGACTTCACCTATAGGATGAGAAGAAGCGGTAAGAAACAACGGTGCGTGTCTCAGGAGATATGGGAGAGCTGGCAAAAGGCTTGGGAGGATCCTGCATTCAAGAGAAAGCGGGAGATGTTTGCACAAAACAGGCGCAGTGAGACTGGCGGGGATGGAGCAGGACCTTCGCGACACACAGGCGGATCTATATCTGCTATAGAGACAGCTCGATTATTAGTAAGTGAACTAGTCCCTTTGCAAGAAACTGATGTTTAATGAAAGGACAATATATATATTAATATATCATGCATAAAAATTCATTACAGGCTAAAGAATTAGGTCGTGAGCCCACACCGATCGTGAGCCAACACCGATTGAGGTGTTTACATATACTCACACGAAGGACCACGATCTTAATACGTTTGTCGACAGACGTGCGCTGAGCGTCAATGTAAGTAACAATGAATACATTTACCCCTAATCATTACGAAGATGTACAAAGTTGAATATAATAAAGCTTGCAATTGCATGATTAAATTAATTTTTATTTTCAGGAGAACTATACTACAGCTTCGGGAGCCGTATTGTTACGTTCTCAGACCGATGAATCTGAAGCTGAGTCAAGAATTGACGAGGTACCGCTTATCTCGAGGCTGGTGAGGGGCGAGAAGAAGAGAAAGGGTATACGGCATCGGGTTCAGGCGTTCACAGTTTTACACTGGACTCAGCAGCTCACGCTGTCTACAGCCAGTGCAGCACGACACCTGAGCATAGTGGCTCGCACTGTGGATGACGATATACGGGCTCAGCTTGCTGATCAGCAGAGACGATTGCAAGAGCTTTAGAGCGCATGTGCATGCGGCTGTTCCGTGAAGCATCCGTGTGGTACTTCTCCCTCTGATCCTGCGCCTGCTTACAGACCGACATGTTTCGACGTCCTCTAGCAAGAGCACATCGCTCTGATCCGATCTACAGACGATACCTTTGGTCACCCCTCCTTGGCGCTACACACATTCCAGAGGTTACTCCTTCCAGCGATCCGGACATCGGGAATCCGACATCGATCCTGCAATGAGCAGCAGCAATATAATTTTGCACTTTTGGACATGTTTTATTTTTTCCATTTGTATTTTCATATTTAATCTTGTTAGAACAATAAAATTAACATTTTATACGTTGTTATTGAATGGTTGTGTTGATTATATTATGCATTTATGTGAACTTTCACGGGTGCAGAAAAATTTTGGTTTCAAACAATAATATTTAATTTTTTTTATTTTTTTTTCATTTTTGCGACCGATTTTGCGGACCGATTTGATACCAAAAGTGAAAATGGTATGAATTTATACTTTGCGGACCATTGCGACCGATTTCAAAACAATTGCGACCGACAATCTGCGACCAAATTACGGAACGTGAATTTTCCAATTAAACCACGACCAAAAAATTGCGACCGATATTCAATTTTGCGAACCGATTTATCGGTAAACTAATTTGCGACCGATTCTTCTCATCGGTCGCGCAAAATAAGTTTGCGACCAGAGTTATTTTTGCGACCGGATGATTGTCCGAGTCCCAATCGGTCGCTAAAGCAAGATTAAGCGACCGATTTTTGCCATTTCTGCGGACCGATTGGTCAGTCGCAAAATGGCGTTTTTGTAGTTAAGGAGCAAGTAATTAACATTCTTTGTTTTGTTTTTTTTTTTTTTTTACAAGAAAATAAGTGTTTAAGGAAATTCCTACGAAAATAAAAGTTTCACAAGGTTTCCCCTAAAAATTTAACTTGCCACAGCAAAGAAACATATACACACTTCCAATTTTCTCCCTTCCAATTTTCTCCAAACCCCAAAACTCCAATTCAACATAACATACCACAAGCACTTCTAAATATCCATCAACATACGCATCATAGTCTAAACACGTTCTTTTCAAGGAATATATAATCATCATACACCAAAAATATAATAAGATGTTATTTCCTTCAATAATCATAACTCTTAATATATTATAAACTTATTATATACAACCTTCATAATACAATCTTTATATACATGCCAAAAATCACCATTTACAAAATATCCTACCCAAAATGTGATCTGTACTCTGATGCTTGTCCTCTGGTCTTAAGAACACCCTCCGCTCTCCTAAGCCTGCCGTCTATGAAAGCACCACCGTGGCCTATTGAAAGCACCACCCCCATTCACACAAATAAGCGCGTGTCCGCCTATTTATAAGGGCTGAAACCCTAGCATATGATCCATTAAGCTTCACAAATAAGAAAATCCATCTCGATCAATTACCACGTCTCAAATGCATGCATAGTAGAGCCCAAATCAAAATCATTCTTCATAAAAGCAATAATTCTAGTCAAAAACCTAAAACCTCTTCATTTAGTACTCATCAGTTCAAAAGTTTTACTCAAAACACTATAAATGTATATATACTTAATATAGTATAAAAGTACATAAATGAAGAACTTTTCAGCATTTCCAAAACTTGACCTCTGCTGGATTTTTAACACATAATTTGAGTTATGGGTCTTCAAATTGAATGAAATCAGATTCATTAGAAATCTAAGACAAATGGCTACAAATGTTCAGAAGGGACCACAGCCCAGATCACAGAGTAAGATAACAAACAAAAGCTCAGAACACAGACCAACAGATCAGACCTGATTCAGCTTCAGCAGAACCAAGTCCATGTTTCTGGAATTCCTAACTTCAGCCAAACACTCAAATGAAACCAATCAGAACGAAAGGGGGGAAGGAATTCTCAAGACAGGGCAAACAACTTTATGAAAAACTCAGAACCTAATCTTATTCATTATAGTGGTCAAAAATGGGCACTTCAATTTAGAATGCATGTGGCCGACACAACAGAGTCAGTTGGGTGTTTTAGCCATAAAGTTGAGCTATGTATATCCATATTTGGACACAAGAGGAATGGGTTGGAAAGATAGGAAAGTAAAGATATAACTTTTATGAAAGAAACCATTAAAAACGTATTTTGCCATTGAGTGGTCAAAAAGGGGACAATCATTTCGGATAGACAGTAAACATCATAACAGGAAACCACGTTTTGGATTAAATCAAGTTGAGGCTAACAAAGTATTGAATTAGGACATAGAATATGTTTTGGAAAGCTTGAGAAATAGAGCTACAACTTTCATGAAGAGTCAGGAAACAAATGGTAAGTATTTAAAGGGTTCAAAAAATGAGTTCCACTCCCACGGCAGAACACATTTTCTCACAGTTTAAATCAGCAATTTCCAACAAAACATACAAAGTTCCAAAATATATTCAAAACCCTAACCATGTAAAAAGCAACTTAAACAAGTGAAATTATGAGTGCACTAACCTTATTAACAAGCTTGAAAAAGCTTTGGACAAGCCTATACTCCTTAGGCTTTCTCTTTTACCCTTTAGGATTGGTCTCCAACCTCTTTCCAAAAGCATGAAAAATCAAGATTACAAGCAAAACTGACAAAAAGAAATAGTTGGAGCATGATATTAATGCATCAATAACATGTCTAAACCATGAATTCTACTTAACAATTCACAAAACTCAAAAAAACCACAACTAAAAACCACAACTTACTTGCTTCAATGGTAACTTCACTTCTCTTTGCTTTTAATCACCAAACTCAACTTCTACTTCTTAATTCTTAAGAATTAAATACAAATCTATGGTTTAATTAGGTAGTTTGGTGGTAAATTTGGAGGTAAGAAAATGAAAGAAGAAGGAAGAAGATGGAAATGGCGTAGAGAAGAGAAGAGAAGAAAGACAAAAATGTTGTGGTGTTTACTTTAATTGCCAAAGTCAAATTTGACTTCCTAAAATCATGCAAAATGTGTGGCTAAGATCAAGTCCTAAGTAATCTCATCCAATGGCTCTAAATACTAAATATTCCTCAAATACTTCTCTTCTACTTATTATTTAATTCCACCAATTAATTAAATCAACTCCACTAAAATAATTCCTCATTTATTTCTTAATATACCACACTAGAAATATTATGCATTCAATACATAAACTCTCCAAAAATATTCATTAAAAATATTTTCTACTCGCCTAAATCATGCAAACATGCTCCAAAAAATAGTAATTAAAATATTAAATATGCATAGTAATTTTTCCGGACTAAAATAATACCAAGTCCCGGACCGATGGTACTATTCACAGACCGGTAAATCACTATTACCGACGAAAATTTTTCCGGACTAAAATAATACCAAGTCCCGGACCGATGGTACTATTCATAGACCGGTAAATCACTATTACCGACACTAAAAGAAAAATTCAGTCTGTTACAAGCAGGGGCACTTTGATAAAAAGCCCCGATCGGCAACGAAGAGCCTAGCGCCGGTGCTAATCTCCCTTTGATCGGCACCGATCTGGTGTGCGTTGGGACCCCTAATCGGCGCAAATAAGGGGCACATTGGTGTTGATTTAGAGGATGTCGGGCGCTGATTTTCCCTAGCACAGCCCCCCTTTAGCCTATAAATATAGCCCTCCTCCCTCATTTTCACCTCACCTCTTATTGCTTGATCGAGCAATTCTCAAGCTTCAATGACTCTCATTCTCTCCATTACAATTCTAAGGCAATATAGTATGACCTTGCTCTTCTTCATTAGTCAAGTTTAAGGCTCAACGTAGTTCTCAAAAGTCGATCTTTTCGACTTTCAATCACACTTTGACCTTCCTTAGGCCAAAGCCATTAGTTAGTTAATATTTATTATTAATCAATTTAACAATTAATTAATAATCCGTCAATTAACATTGGTTAATATAAGAATATAATTCGGGTCCTCGTGCCCTACCTTAGCTTATTTTGGAGAAAGACTTAACCTCTTTGGTCGATTACCAACCGTGGAGCTCTGATCCAGCCGTGTCACAAGCACAAGGTTATAATCACTTAAAACTCAAACTTTATCAATTAAGCCTGGTCCATCCCGTACTCTATCAATTGTCAAGCTCGATCCGTTTGGAACCTAGCATGCTTTAAGCCAAGACTGTCCAGCATACAAAGGTCGATCCATTCGGCAAAACCATAAAACCAGCTTTCAAACCAAAGCCCAGTCTACTCGGCACCCCATAAGCCCACTTCCTGAGTGGCACCTCCAAAATCCTACCATCCTAATCGATGGTAGAACTTTTGTACGCCTTGGTCCTCATAAAAATGAGGTACAAAGGCATACCTATAGATTTTAGTCTAGGTAGTAGGCCCCGATCAAACTGACAGTCGGGACTTAGGGGAATGTGTCACACAACCTAGAATCCTTGATAAACGAGGCTAGAGTCGGGCTTCCCTCTGAATTACACACTTTTCAATTATTTATGCTTTATCTATAATTGCCATGCATTATAAGTATGCTCATGCATCGATGAACTGACAATCATGCAAAACACTGATTTTTGATTTCTTAATTATGACCCAAACCATTAATTCATTTTGAAAGAAGCTAAAAACCTAGTTCCTGAACCCAATGATTTGAGACTAGTGCATTTTATCCTAAAGGCAAACTGAAATTGGAGTCCATCATGGGGTGTTTTCCTTAGTCTAAACAAAAACAAACTAAGGTGGTGACTCTATCACATCATACACTCGTCAAAGTGCTCTAAAGAGATAACCTGACTTAAGCGCTAAATCAAGCCATAATTAGTCTGACCTAATCAAACAAAAGGAACCGTAAGGAGTTCCTCCCAGTTTTCGTGAAGAATCGTCCAATGGGCCCGTCTGGATCGACTCCACCCTTTGGATCTTTCCTATAGCGCCCGAAAGGAGGCTCACACATAGCAGATATACATGGACTTATATGCTAGCTGAAAAACTCAAGTGTTTATT